TAATTTTGTAATTATAAATTCTTCTTTTAGCGTCATTAACAACTTGATACAATCTCAAGCTCTGTAGCCAAATTGTAATTATTTTTTAACTTTTAGTTTCGGACATTTGTTCCCACCTACACGCATTACAAAATAGTGTACAAAGTGTTTATCCTTAATGTAAATAAACAGAACAATTATGATATCAATAATTATATTGCTATATAAATCAACCATTAATCAACTTAAGGGGGGATTACTTTTTATACATGTTAATTGTCCCTTATCATCAAAGCTTTTATTCTTTAGTTTTATGTTTTTTTTGTTTTTTTTTTTTTTTGGGGGGGGGGTTGTTTTTTTTTCACTTATCTAACTTTCTATTTTTTATTTTACCCCGATAACAGTGTCCCAACTTTATATTTAGCATTTTTTAAATTCTCATTATTAGTTAAAAGATAACACCTTTCTAAAGTACAAACATCATGTAGACGAACATTTGAAAACATCATGTTCTCTATTGACATTCAGACATGATCCTGAACAAATTTCTTTTGTGATATTCTCTACTTTACATAATAAAACCAAGTAAATTCTTCCTTATCACGTTTAAACACGAATCCTGAACCCACAAATGTGTGTAATTGTGTAATTCTCTATAGAAAACAGATTTTTTTTTCTCATTCCAGATCGTTTTATCTTAACCTCTTACAAATAATCAGTACACGTACAGAAACATTAATCTTGAAAAATTACTAACAACTTCGTCATCCTTTTTCTTTTCACTCCCAAGCATCATGCCCAAACACAATAAATCAAAATATTTTTTCTCTCTGTCTCTCTATTCACGTTCGACATAAAAGCCCGGACCATATTTACGTTCAGCATAAAAGCCCGAACAACATCACGTTCAGCATCAAATCCTGAACCATATTCACGTTCAGCATAAAAGCCTGAACAATATTCACGTTCAACATAAAAGCCTGAACAATATTCACGTTCAGCATAAAAGCTCGAACAATTTCCACGTTCGGCATAAAAGCACGAACAATATTCACGTTCAGCATAAAAGCTTGAACAATTTCCACGTTCGGCATAAAAGCCTGAACAATATTCACGTTCAGCATAAAAGCTCGAACAATTTCCACATTCGGCATAAAAGCACGAACAATATTCACGTTCAGCATAAAAGCTTGAACAATTTCCACGTTCGGCATAAAAGCCTGAACAATATTCACGTTCAGCATAAAAGCCTGAGCCCTTTTCACGTTCAGCATAAAAGCCTGAACCATATTCACGTTCAGCATAAAAGCCTGAAACATATTCACGTTCAGCATAAAAGCCTGAACAATATTCACGTTCAGCATAAAAGCCTGAAAATATTCACGTTCAGCATAAAAGCTTGAACAATTCCACGTTCGGCATAAAAGCACGAACAATATTCACGTTCAGCATAAAAGCCTGAACAATATTCACGTTCAGCATAAAAAACCTGAACAATATTCACGTTCAGCATAAAAGCTTGAACAATTTCCACGTTCGGCATAAAAGCACGAACAATATTCACGTTCAGCATAAAAGCTTGAACAATTTCCACGTTCGGCATAAAAGCACGAACAATATTCACGTTCGGAGTAAAAGCCCGAACAAAAGTCGTTATATAAAACATAAAAATATCTTAAATCATTATTTTTTTTCATCCAAGCAGCATGCCCAGACACAATAATCGTTAAATAAAAAATAAAATATCCAAAACTTATATGTTTTCTTTCCTTATTATATTTCAAAAAACTTGAACAATTTTCTTTTATCTTTTCTATTCACGTTCGAGCATTTAACCCAAACTCTAGACAAAATGCAATGACTTTTAAAATTTATAGAAACATAAAAATATATTTATTACTAGATTTTCTTTGTCTTCACATTCAAGTACCCAAACAAAAACATTTTATTGGCCTAACTGAAAGAACTTTCCATTCTTCCGTTCTCACTTTTCTAAACAAATATTTAAACCGTAAAATAGGCCTATATGTGCCCGTTCAAATGTGAACAAATTATTTAATTAATATGTAACATGTCCGTCCCATATTCAGTATGAAAATACCACAGACGTACAACTGGCGTTCCGATAAATTTCCTCTAACGCTTTCATAATTTGTATTCCAAACTCTTAAAAAAAAATTATATATATGCCATTTATATACACAATATATACCCATATACTATGAATACATATTACGTTAATATCTGTATTAAGTAACTTTTACACTCATCGTATTCTCTTCTCATGAACCGTTGCTATATCAAATAAGATTCGAAAACTCACCCCTGACGATTTGTTTTCTGATGTTTTAGCCTTTTTCTTAGGAGGTTCCTGTGTAACCGTATCTTCCTTCAATTCGTCTTTCTGCTCCAATGCAAAACTCACAACTTTGCATAGATTCTCTCTGGAGTCGTCTATATCTAGAAGCACTAGAATGCCATTTAAATGCAACTTTATATTAGTGACTACTTGCAATAAGTCTTCTCTACTGAATGTACTCAAACACTTCCCGTCAAATTCTTGAAGATTAGGATCCTTGTCCGATCGATATCGCTTAATTATTTTTAGGAGATCCGTTATGCGTCTGCACGATCGTATGACCTCCAATCGAGTGACGATGAGACTAAGAGTGAGGGTGCAATCTTATATATTCGAGGTACCGAAGGGGGAACTTGAAATAGTTAGTAATTTATATATGTTTTATTGCTATTTCAGAATTAGTTTTTATTTACCGGTAATAAACATCAGGGGCCTGGTTTTCGAAAGTATCCTAAGATATGTCATAAGATATATCTGAGGACAAATTTTATGACCATCTTATGACTATCATACTAGTATGATATGTCCTAGAATGTAAATCAAAGCTGTCATACGATAGTCATACCTATAATGCATATGCTCTTGTGACTGTCGGAGTTGAACATATTTTCATTTTTTTTTCAAATAATGATTTAAAAAATGATGAAAATAAGTATGAAAATAAAAATTATTACCATTCTCATCATTTCCAATTTTTTTTTATTATCATAATGAACATGAAATCAAATATGAAAAGAAATTAAAATCTGAGTTGATAATTTGTTTGAATTTAGTTTCTATGTACATAATAAAATTCTAGATCTTCGCGTTCATGTATTATTATACATGAAGTGTTATTTAATTGTGAACACTTTTAAGAGGTTGCATGTGCAACGATATATGCAGTAAATGACACTGATCACTGACAATGGAAGTGATGTCGTAACTTTTATGAAAATCATAAGACCATCATAAGTCATGTCGCGATGTGTCTTAAGTTTACGATAAAATTTATGACATATCGTAACTTGGGACACTTTTGGAAACATATCTTACGACTATGACATGTCATAAGACCATCGTAAGTCATGTCTTAGTCATAAGATACTTTCGAAAACCAGGCCCCAGAACCCTAGATCTAAGTTATTGTTATTCCTAAGCATGTGAATCCATCTACTTACTACATTGTGTTATGTTGTGTTGTTACACCACTGTCCCAGGTTAGGGGAGTGTTGAGAGCTCACAAACAAACTTCGCAACACTCTTTATGTGACGTCCAAATCTCAATATACACAGACCTGCTATTGTTTACACTTTTGCATTGGTCATTTGCATTCCTACCACTTCTCTTTATTTTTATATTTATATTTACTTCTACATTATTTGATTAGCATTAAAGTTAAACAACACAAAGAATGTTATCTTAGATCTCCAAATTTTGAAACTAGACGTTTATTTACAAAAATTAGAATCAGTGACCAAAACTTACTTATAGAAAAGGGCATATACCTCGAAACCATGTCTAACTTGTAAAACCATAGAAGATAAAAACCACTTTCTCCTCTACTTTTAAAATAATAAAATGTTACATATAAAACTTTTTAATGACATCACAATAGATAATACTATATTTCCAAATCTTTCTGATACTGAAAAAAACTAGTAGTCCTGCTAAATCCATTATCCTTCAAATATAAGTGAAAAAAAAAACAGGTTCCTTTATAAAACAATCTTTAGAACTGAGGACAGTGGACTCTTAGTTATTTTTCCTTGTATATATATATATATATGTATTCAAATCAGCTTATTTTTTGTTAATTGTTGTTATTATTTGTATTTTTCACTAGTATCTTCTTTACTAATATGACAATAAAGAATTTCAATTATCGCATATTGAGGTATACAAATAAACATTTTGTTTATTCAAACTAAGCATTGCTAACTCCCAGAATAACAAATGTCTAACCAAGTGTGAGGGTAAATATGTTGGTTTAGATTTACTTTATAATATGTTCGATTACCATATATACGATTTGACTTATGGCTCATTGTCAAATACCTAACCTCAGGAACTTTTTTTTCCTGTTGAAGTGGATATAATTTTAGTCATTATCACTTAATGCGCATTGTTTCTAGCACAACTTGTTCAACAATATTTTGTTTAAGCTTGTACGTAGAAACTTGATTATAGAGTTTGGATTCAATGCCTAGAGCACGTTTCTGGAATAACCTTCATTCATCAAGTCACACAAGAACAACAACTTTGAAATGCAGGTACAAAAAAGTTTAGGAGCGTAAGAACAGAAATGTCCAAACGAACCGAAATATCCCGTCATTACATATGTTTAATTTGTTTATAATTCTAAATCGTTTGTTACTTCTTAGGACAATCTATTCTTTATAGACAATGACTGTAAGAAAAAATTGTCTTTAAATGAAACTTTCAATCATCATGAAGTATCTCACATGCTATCATGAAATCGAGAGTGACATGCTTAATTGTTATTTTTTGTTCTTTTTGTTTAGGTTTTCATTGCTTTCTCTTTTGATTTTTTTCCATGTTATATCATAAAAGCAAGGTCAAAAACTCTTTTGGATAATGACCTATACTAATAAAGATTTGAGCATTTTGCAATTCTTCGCAAACCTCTTGAAAGGTAGCTGTTTTCAGAGAAATAATACATTATACAAGATTTTCCGTAATTTAATTCAACATTTTCAAGTTTCAACAAAAGTGTATATTGCTTGCATGTACAATTTGAATAAATAACATCATATTTACAAGTATTTGAGATTCTACCCTGTATTCATAGCTGTTGAAAAGTCTGCAATTTACAATCATTTAGAGCATATGAATATTGTAAATATTTTTTGAGATTCAGTTTTCATTTTCTGTGAAGGTTCGAACACAGTTTATCCAAACCGGAACTGGAACTTTCCATTTTTCCTATGTCCTTTCCGTTTATAAAATTTTCGAATAAGTTTCATTAGTTTGTGATAATTCCAACGTGTATCCCTTTTATTCCGTGACAAACTGCTTTGCTTCGATCTTTGGATTCTTTTCCCGTTTTGACGTTCATGTTGTGTTTTCGCATTGTCGTCAATGGATCGTCCGTATCGCAGCTGTGTGCTTCCAGATCCGTTTGAATTCTTCCATAACCAGTATTGTTGAAGAGTTTCAGCAGAAGTTGAATCCAGTTGTCGTTTGCCTCTTACTCTAATATTCCTAGTGTTTAAATGTTTAGTAGATATGACTGACAATATTTTCGAATATGTCATTTGAGAATTTATGCCGATAATATCATTGTCTTTTGTACTTGGTAATGGTATGACTGATCCATAAACATGATATACTAACATCAGAAAACAACACGTGAATCTATTCACGTTCTCTCTGCAAAACAATTAAAAACAGTTTAGACAGATCTATGCAAATGCATTGAAAATGAAAATACACCATAAAATAGACTAAGCACAAGAATTTTGTAAAGTGACTGAGTTTGTATATAAAAAATAGAATAATAATTAAAAAATATTTGTACAATGATATTAATTGAAATACAATTATATATGAAATAAAAAAAAACTTTTTAAGGGTAAATTAAGTTTCTTTACCTTATTGTCCACATTGTAGACCTACGTAATCTGTTTGAATAAGTGCTTTTATCCTGATTGAATTTGTTTAGATTTCAAATGTATGGAAATAAGTAAGTTAAAATAATAACAAAACAAGACATGTTTCGTATTTAAATACATTTGACAACAATGCAGGAGACATTCCTGTGCTATCGCCCTCTCAGATAAATCTCTTCAGGGGAGAGTCCTCAGGTAATAATTTTTGATTATGGGAGATGACTACGGTGTGTTTTTGATCTACCGGACATCCTAATTTTGAAATGCTATATCCTATCATATTCTTTCCATTAAAGATGACTGTAACAAAACTGCCTACTTCCTATATTTTGTAAAAGCTAAGCTCTATATTCATAAAATATTACAATGTAAATCTAGTATAGATTAAAGGGACAATTCTACGCTATATGAAAATAAAAACCCGTATTCAAATTGAATAAATAACAGGACATTTAAAAGATGGTAAAATGGCTTCTCACCATTGTCAGTAAAAGCGTATAAAACAGTCTCCGGGACAAGTTTGCAATTCCGCTGAGTGCAAAAGTTGTCACCTTAATTTTTGGAGTTAAGTCAAAATGAAGTTGATAACTTGGTTGGTATTGGTTCCTTGATATTTGTCCTAAAAATTTTTGGCTCTAGCACCACTGTTGAACAAGTTATGCCCCTTTTTTCAACAATTTTCTCAGAACAAAAGTAGTTTTCCTCAAGGGAAATCAAATTTCCATAAAGGAAAAAGATTTTTCTTCAAGGGAAATTGTATTTTCCTCAAGGGAAAAAGATTTCCCTTAGGGAATTTGCTGCGTTAATATTTCCTTTGAGGAAATTTGCGGCTTCAAATTTTCCTTTGAGGAAATTCTATTTCCTCTGAGGAAAATTGAGGCTTCAAATTTTCCTCTGAGGAAATACTTTTTCCTGTGAGGAAATCTGAGGCTTCAAATTTTCCTTTCAGGAAATACTTTTTCCTGTGAGGAAATTTTGTCAACAGCAGTTTCCTGTGAGGAAATTTTTTGACAAACACTTTTCCTTGAGGGAAAATTCAGACAAGAAATTTCCTCTACGGAAAACATTGTTCTCCAAATTTCCTCTATGGAAATTTCTGTTCATCAATTTTCCTCTATGGAAATTTCATGACAGTAAAAACAGTATGAATATAATTTTTCCTGAGACTGAATAATTGATACAAAAGATAATTAAAACTTTAATAAAATGTTCACTGATGAGTAACATGACATACAAAAACAATAGGCTAGCTGCTTGAGATAATACAATAATAAGCAAAACGCTATGAATATCATACTATTTGTAACGTTATTAATATTGTGCTCATATTTGCAGATTAAATAAAATAACCACTTTTCATGTTAATTTAATTTTTCTTCTGTTTAAGCTGCTGCGTACAATTATTCAATCCCCTACATAACAGTTCAGTGCATAAATAATTCCATCCATCAGACATCTTCCTTGAATTGGTAGAGAATACATTTTTGCAATTTGTTATTCAAACATCTTCCTCTGTATATTTGATATGATAGAGCCATGTACATGAATGGATAAAGAAGGTGTTTTTTGACAACAAAACACTATTTTTTTCTACATTTCTCCCTAATCCTTCAGTGAATATGTAGGTTGTTGCAATTACACAATTGTGTTCTTGTGCAGCTATGATTGTACTCCATTTTGTTTACAGCCATTTTGTAGAAATTTCCTATTTCTTTTTCCAGGTAAGCACACATTTCATTTCACATTAATCCAATTAGCACACAATGTAGAAAAGTATTAACCTTAAGTTTCCTCTTCGGTATTGACCTGTTGATGATCATGAAAACCAAGATGTCTGACCTATAAATACACAAAATATAATTTGAGAAAAAAACAGCAATATGAAATAAGCTTATTTTATCATGTTTAATATGAACATTTTGAGAAACTTGAATTTGATATTCTTACTTATCATGCTTATGCGCTCTCTTATTTCAGTGCTTTGTGTCCACGACTTAATATCAGTCGTTTAAGTGCCTTGCAGTGATATTGAGTTGAGCCACTTGCAACAGTTTTTACAGTTTGTTCATATTTTGTGCTATTTGAACCACTGTCCTAGATTATGGTTAGGTTGAGTGCTCACAGACATGATTTTTTTTATTAATTGTTATTGGCTTTGAACTAATTTGGATTGTTTAAATCTATTCATGTTGGGGTCTTTATTGGCTGACTTATAAGGTGTGGGTTTTCTCATTATCGAAGGCCGTCATTGGTCTTTAATTGCTTGCATCCACTTCATTGAACTCTGGTGGATAGATAACTCATTTACCATACCACATCTTCTTATTTTTATAATAGTCATCATTCAAGGGCAATCACTTTTATTATATAGAAGTGGTCTTACCATTTAGGACTTGTTGTCTTCTGTTTATCTTGTTTTGCCGATCATTTCTACTGTACAGTTGTAACTGTTTATATTTTTCTTTATCTTCTATATTTCTTACCCTAAACTTAAAAAAGGTAAAAACTATAATTTAATGACTATAACTATTATTATACATCAGTATGTGTTTTTCTATATACCATGATATAAAAATGAATGAAACATTTGTGCTATTTCATTTCACAGACTATTTGCCAGTCAACAGTTTCAAAGACATAACCCCGGTCAATAGTTTAACAAACAAACATTCCCGTACTTTTTCATCGTTTTCATACTATTATTTTCATTGGACAACAATGACGTGATTAACTATTCTTCTATGATTTGTGTGCTTGACAACGTTAAACTGAAATATTGTTAACAGTATAATCTGTATGTGTCTGTCGTCAAAATTTCAAATTAATATATTACTTACAGAAGCAATTAAAACAAGAGGCTCTCAAGAGGCTGAATCGCTCACCTGTAATTTTTTGCTTAAATCTTTTATTTATGATTATTTTTGCTTTTCAACATACATTTATAAGTGGCTTAAAAATTCCATTTAAATGTTCTTTGTATCTGTCATATTTTCTTCAAAAGCAAAAAAATTATTTTACCCCTATGTTCCATTTTAGCCATAGTGGCTATGTTTCTTGACGTATAAGAAAATAAAATACAAAATTTATACTAGATACTCTGAAACTCATTCAGCCAAAGTTTGGCTGAAATTGATTCAGCAGTTTCAAAGATGAAGATTTTTTAAAGTAAGCAAACTAGATGAACAAATTGTGAAAAATTGTCTTTAAAGGGCAATTACTCCTTAAGGGGTCAATTGACAATTTTTGTCGTATTATCATATTTGTAGACCTTACTTTGCTGAACATATTTGCAGTTTACAGTTTATCTTTATCATTAATAGTATTCAAGATAATAACCAAAAACTGCAAAGTTTCCTTAAAATTACCAATCTAGTGGCAGCAACCCAACAATGGATTGTTAGATTCATCTGAAAATTAAATGGCTGATAGAACTTGACATAATGAACAATTTTACCTCCATAAGATTTGCTCTAAATGCTTTAGTATTTGAGATATAAGCCAAAAACTGCATTTTACCCCTATGTTCTATTTTTAGACATGGCAGCCATGTTTATTGATGAAACAGAAAATAAAACCCCAGCTTTATTTTAAATACCCTAAGGATCATTCAGCCTAAGTTTGTTTGGAATTGGTTCTGTAGTTTCAGAGGGGAAGATTTTTTTAAGTTAGTAAACATGATAAACAAATTGTGTAAGATTGTTGTTAAAGTAAAATATCTCCTTAAGGGGTCCATTGACAATTTTGGTTATGAAACTTATTTGTAGATCTTACTTTGCTGAACATTTTTGCTGTTTACAGTTTATCTTTATCATTAATAATATTCAAGATAATAACCAAAAACTGCAAATTTTCCTTGAAATTACCAATTTAGTGACAGCAACCCAACAATCATGACAATGGGTTATTAGATTCATCAGAAAATTTCAGGGCTGATAGAACTTCACCTAATGAACAATTTACTCTGTGTCAGATTTGTTCTAAATGCTATGGGTTTTGAGATAAAAGCCAAAAACTGCATTTACCCCTATGTTCTTATTTAGCCATGACGACCATGTTTTTAGACGAAACAAAAAACAAAACACAAACTTTATTGTAGATACCCTAAGGATCATAGTTTAAGTTTGATAGGAATTGGTTCAGTAGTTTCAGAGGAGAAGATGTTTGAAATAGTTTACACACGACGGACGACAGATAACGACAGACGGCGACGGACGCCAAGTGATGGCAAAATCTCACTGTTCCTTTCGGAACGATGAGCTAAAAATTCTTCATGTATATTTAAAAAGTTATTTGTATTTCAAAAGGAAAGAAAGTTACTTATCTGCTTAAAGCATACCACATGAGTAGAACAAGGTCCCATTAGGCCATGCAAGACTCAATAACTTTTAAGGTCAATATAGGCAGTAACACATTTTTACATATGAAAAGGCATACACATAAGCTAGAGGAAATAAAAATGTGTTTCTTTTTGGTAATTTGTAGGCTAAGGTGACATCATACAAGAAGTATGAGTCATTCTCAAACTAAAATAAAATAACTTCATCCCCCTACTTACTTTTTATGCATAAACAATATAAATAAATAAATTTGGAAGTAATACATGGTCCACACTAGGGAATCTTTTTGTAAAAAATGAAAATCAATGGATGATAACTGTGTACTTGGACCAATAATTAAGATTTCACATGCTGAAATGTCTCGTCTGCTTTAGGTTATCTCATGTCACTGGTGAAGAGTTGTCACATTTGTGTGATATACCAAATATTCATATGGATATGTTTTAAGTACTGTTGGATAATCGGTTGAAATTACCAACCGATTATCTATTACTATCAGTTAACAGCAACCAACCGACTATCGGTTATAATCGCATCATTATACCTTGCCCTTTTTTTAAATGGAATCATGCATTCAGTCACATTGTATATGTCTAATGCGTATATTCCATATCATTGCAGAGTTTTATATGTTCATATTTGATCTTTTGTTTCCTTTTCATATTTATTTAGCAATTAAAACAGTCATATCCAGAAATCAACGCCACTTTGCTTATTTGAATATTATACTAAAGAAATCGGATACGGGTCACGGAAATTATATTGAAATGATAGGGAATTTTGAAAAAATGTCTGTTTTAACTTTGATTTAAGTGATAGACA